TTTTTAGCACAAAAATAGCCACTATTTGGCCACTTTGAAAAGGATCGTCAAACCAATATATCTGTCTATCTATGACAAGAAGTATAATGAATATTTAAAATTTGAACAAAATCAGTCAAAACAATATGGGTCATACCCATATACAATATTTATATGGGTCTAGAAGCCCATTCATTAAAACAAAATGGATGCCAGTCGGCCATTTTGAATATTATCTGAAAAACAATGATGTGCATCAAGATCCCATAATGTCTAATAGTTTGAACAAAATCCATCTGTAAACAGCCGAGAAATGCTTGATTTTTATGATTTTTTAGCACAAAAATGGCCGCCATTCGGCCATCTTGAATTAGATCGTAAAACAAAATGATGTTCATCAAGGTCCTATAATGTCCAACGTATATACAAGGTTTGAACAAAATCCATCTGTAAACAGCCGGGAAATGCTTGATTTTGATGATTTTTCAGCACAAAAATGGCCAGCATTTGGCCATTTTTAATAGGATCTTAAAACCAATATATCTGTATATCTATGACATGATCTATAATGAATATTTAAAATTTGAACATAATCGGTCAAAGCAAGTCAGAGATATGGCACTAGAACCACATTCATTAAAACAAAATGGCCGCCAGTCGGCCATTTTGAATCTTATCTGAAAAACAATGATGTCCATCAAGGTCCTATAATGTGTAATGTATATACCAATTTTGAACAAAATCTATCTGTAAACAGCCGAAAAATGCTTGATTTTGATGATTTTTAGCACAAAAATGGCCGCCATTCGACCATCTTGAATCAGATAGTGATAATTTGACGTGCATATGTATAATATTATGTATGATGTATGTGTGAAGTTTGATTGTGATTGGTCCAGGCATTTCTAAGATACAGGTTCGGACGCACGCACGCACACACAGAGGTCAAAACATAAGTCCCCGTTTTCGGACGATGTCGGGGACTATAAATAGTCAACAAAACTCACCCTCTTTGCGAGTAGAGTCAGAGACTTATTTCCTGCCAAATCTTGGAACCATGCTTGAATGGCATTTCTGGATCTTGCAATTACCTGAACAAGAATATAGAAGAGTATCCGTTTATAACTATACCAGTGATATTTAAATTCTAAAGGCTCAAGTAGTATCATATGGAACAGATTACTGTTGTTTCAACATTACAATCACCAGTACCAGCTCCAGTAATATTCTATTATGTAAATGAAACAACTGCATTTATTCTATGCTGGATTATTCAAATATGAAAATGTTTGAAAACTCCTATCAGTGGAAATCATATTTATACTGTCACAATCACTACGCTGTAGGCAAGTTAAAATAGTTGAAAGTTTTTCTATGGACAAAATCCAAAACTAATCAATGATTCTACACATGCAGTTGTAAAAGCATGGAATCACATTTTCCATATCGAACATCAATACACACACACACACAGATACAATATTACTCACAGGCCAGAAGTTATCCTTGGTGTTGATTTGTTGTTTTCGTTTACCAGTATCTTGAAACGTATTCAACTTTTGCTTCTCTGCAATAATAGCACTGAAGTAAGTGCCAAACTAGTGCGGAAATAAAAAAAACGAAGTCAGTCAGTGATTTAACTAGAAAACACAGCCTACCGGGACAATAAAGAGATACATGTACAAAGAAAAAAATAAAGAGTTTATGCTTACCCTGCTAGGATTGATATTACTGGTTCTAGCTGTTCCATACTGCAATGACAAATGGTGACAAATATTTTAACTGATGAATGATGTATGCAGTGTTCCTTTCTAATCGGACAAAATTAGAAGAATTTGATAACAAAATAACATTTATCAAGGTCCCATAATGTCCAATTTATGTACCAAGTTTGAACGAAATTTGACTATATATATGACAGATTCTATTTCGGAATGGCAGAAATACTTGCTTTGGATGAATTATTAGCACTAAATTAGATGCTATTCGGCCACTTTGAACCAGATCATCAAACAAACGCTTATGTAAACATATCCCAAGATGCATGATGTGTGTGTGAAGTTTGAGCTTGATCAAGGCATGTTCGAGATACAGGTGGAAGAATGCATGTAAAGAGACGCACAGAGGTCAATCCACAATTACTCGTTTTCTCAAACTTCATCCAAATGAAGACGAACAAATCAATGATGCACATACAACAGAGAATACAATACAAAAGAAGCACCACTGTACATCTAAGGTGCCTGCTTATGATACAGTAGATAGAGACAATTAATTTTTTTTTTGAAATTCAAAAATGTGGGAAAGAAACATACCTCATCTCCAAAGAATGGTGAGTTACTGAAGCCCTGTTTTACATTTGTTGCTGTCAATTCATCCTGCACAACACAAACAAAAACAAATTATTAGCACTATACAAGCAACATTGGACAAAATAATTGCTCAGCTGAGAAAAAGTATTTGAGAGAGAGAAGAGGCAAACGCAGGTGCCTTTTACCTAAAAACTGCTTTTAGTTTCTGCGGGCTAAATTTTCATGACGATAGTAAAAAAAAAGTTTGCAAAACTGATTAAATCATTGGCATTTGTACATTGTAGTTTCAAAAATATAATGGTACACAAATATTACACCGATTTGGTGAACAACAGCATTCTGTAATAAGATATAAAATAAACTGTTAAATAACATGGCAGATGAACAAAGCACACAAAAAATAGTGATGAGAAGTAACATTAGTTCCTGACAACAGACAATTGTGATTTCCAAGGTCAATAACATGATATCAAAAGTACATCATAGCATTAAATTACTTAAACAAATTTAACTATAGCAATAATTTATCAACAACTCCATAAATAATATTTTAAAATATTACGTATTAATATCACCTGGATATCATACACTTGATCCATAATGTTTTCAGTGATTAGGGAGATTTGATATGTCCAGTCATACATTGTTTGAAATGGTCATCTAATCTAAATCTGTTAACACACTATCGAATCACATGATATTAAGCTGCTACGTATCGTTCACAGAAAACAGCTGATTACCAACACCAGTATCTACATGTATGTAATTTTAAAAAAAAGAGCTATTCCAATTCTACCCATGATTAACTGTGTAAATGTTCTAAATTTGAAGAAAAAAACACACACCAAAGAAAAAAAAATAGACACACATACACAAAAACAGGTTATCAAAATGATTTCAATACACTAAATCGAAATAGTTATATTAACTACAGTATGTATGATATTCATTTTCCGGGCACGTTGGGAAAGTCGTACAATGTAGTCATGCCACAAGACATACAGTAATAGTATAAAATACATCAAGAATGCTCAATTTCCAATTATAATACACGGATATGATAATATGCATGATCTATGTTTATTGAATAGGTAATTTAAACCACGGACGATTACGATCCGATTGGCTGGACTAATAATTACCGTCGCTTTATCATCAGATTTACTTTACATTTACTTTTTTTAGCAGCACAAAGTACAAAATATAACATAACCAAAAGAAAATGTGGCTATATTAAAGACAATGCCTCGAAAGAAAAATAAAACATCAAAATATCATCGACCGATCGTCAATATTTCCAAACAAAAACATTGTGACGACTGAACCATCGGATGACCTTGCCGGCGATTGTGACTAGTTGTGATACTTTGGCTGATCGCACATTAGTTCACGATTAGTAATATGTGAGTTGCTCTTTTGGCTAACCTCTTTTTGTCTTTGTTCTTGAGGATATACATCTGGCGGCCCTAATCTTGATCTTTTTAGTGGTCGGCTTTCCGCACAAACACCGCCACTCGCCGCCATCTTAAAAGTGCATTGTGGGGAAATTTACAATAAGAGGGCGCTGTTTACAGGTAAAGAAATTTAAAAAATCGACCTCGACACACACGATGCTTT